TGCTCTGCTTCTCAGGATTTGCCCCCAAAGGCAAATTTTAGGGGGAAAAAAAAGCTATTTGATTGGCTCCAAAGCTCTTCTAAATCGGATGATACAGTGAGCATCAGGCAGCAGAACAGCTTCCATAGCAACACACACTCTGTGCTTGGTTCTTTCTGGGGCATCTGTCACTGCCTCTGCTCCCTGCAAACAGTGGCAGAGAGAAGGTTCCTTGCAGACCTGTAAACAGCCCACGTTAGTGCACAATTGTATCTGGATTATTGTCAGAGTGCCCCTGGTGAGGCAGCAGCAGCAGCAAACTGCTCTTCCAAATCGATTATAATACACATTTATATTTCCCAGCATCTCCCAAACAAGGATTTCAGAGCAGTCTACAAATAGGCTTCAGAGCAGTCTACAAAACACCCTGAAGAGCCTAAAATTATAGATTAAATTTTCTGAAGCCAGAAAGATTAATTATACAAGACCATGCTCCCTAGAATTACACACCAGCTTTGTTGAAGCAGAAGACAAGTCCTTCCACATAGGAAAACAGTGTTAAATATTTCCAAAATGTTCCCCAAATCCACTTTTTCTGAAGGAGTATCATATAGGTGTAAGTATTAATTTATCTCACCTTCACTATACAGCAAAACAAACAGTATAACTTGAAGTCCAACATATATGTCAAATGACAAAAACTTGTGCCATTGTAACTCTTTAGTTAAAATGACTGTATTTAGACTTTGAAGATTTTCTTGTATTAGCTCACAAGTTACACAGCATCAGTAGCTCCCCTTATTTTCATCACCTTGGAAACACCACATGCAGGAAAACAAATACCAGAAAAATAAATATGGATTTGTTATTTGTAATTCAATAAATTTTTAATCCTGAATCTTCTGTTTCATATTCTTAAAGAATTTCACAACAGTAGAGACATTTTTTTATCCAATAAATCTCTTCTGTAGCTGAGTAATAAAAACTGTGACCATGATTTTGAAGATTTTGAGTATAGATAAATAAACAATGAGGTCTGATGAGCATGCACCATTTCCCTCCACAATAAAATCACAGGTCTTCTGAAAAAAAGATGGATTGCACTTTAATTTTAAATACTGCTAATGTTTAAAATGTCTGAAATGGACATACAGCAGAAAACACCAGTTACAAGTGTTCTAAGTAAGAGCTCTCAGAAGTGTAGCAGCTACTGAAATCAGTAACAATTAACACCATAATTCACAGGAGAAAAAATGTAACTGATGTTCTCTTGCTAGTTAATGTTTTGCTAAAATAGACAGACTGAGAAGCTGTATTATAAGTAGTTTGGTCTGGTTTTTAGTAAACAACACTGAACAGTCACCAAGTGTACACATCAAGCACACAGTTAGTAGTTAAAATGTTTTTGTCTTTGGGGTATTTTCTAGTCCACTGCCATATTCATTGAAAAATGAGTCAGTAGAGAAGATACCAAATGTTCTGCATCTGATATAATAAATATATTAACAAAGAAGAAGACAAAAAGGAATTTAAAAACACTTAATCTGAAAAAGAAGAAAACTCAGTTTTTTTCTTACCCACTCTGTTCAAAACAGCCAGTGTGTGTTGACCTTCCAGGCATGCAGCAAACTTTATTTAGTTTTATTGGCATTTGGAAAATGCCAGAATTTGATGAGACTTGCAGACAGCAAAACTTTGTTGGACTCTTTACCAATGCTTCCTATTGCAATGGGTTTAATTTTTTGCTCTTGCTTATGCCAGGGTTGCTCATGGTCTTGGAAACAGTGTTCAGGGTTCAGCAAAAGGGAGAAAGAATTCAAGAGAGCAGAGGAGACCCAGTATGAGGACCAGAGTGTCAGGGAGAGAGACACTTAAAACAGGTTAGAAAAGTCTCATAATGGTACAGACTGTGAGCAAAATGCCCCAGTTAACACTCTCTGCTATCAACAGTGACTGATGAAATCAGCACCACAATGCAAGTCTCACCTCACCCAGATTGCTGGCCAAAGGAAACCACTGCTTGCTGCTGCTTCAGGAGCTCCAGCAGCAAAGGCTTTTTGCAATGGTTCTGTGCTCAAACACACAGTAAATGAAAATATGTACTCCATCGAATCTGAGTGGTTAAAAGGGAAGTCCTTTTTAAGTATTAGAAACTATAAGCAAAGATATCTTAGGGGGGGGAAAAGGTAATGAAAGCCACGTCCCTGTACAACTGTGTGTCAGATCTATTGGCCTCCTGCATCCCAGAACTGTCCAAGGCACGTGCTCCAGAAGGTTTTCCACAGGACCCAATTTCCAAAGGGTGTCTGAGGCGTGAGGTCACACCAGGAATAATAACACCAAAGGCTGTATTACAGTTCACTCACCATGTCAGCACCATCCAACCTCAGCACTGACAGAACTGAGATAGGAAATGCCTCTGCTGAGGTCATTGGAGTGCTGCAGGAGGAGAACCAGCAGCACTGCACAAACTCAGCCCAGGTTCTACTCGTGTTTGTGTGAGGGAGCCCTTCACTTACCCTGAGAACCTGCACGGTGCAGAGCCTGGCAAGTGGGGCCATCAGCTTCTGAGAGGCTGTAAAACCTGCACCTTCTGGCTGAGCCTGAGCCCTTACCTGCAATCACAAAGAATTGTTAACTGGGATAACAAGGAATTGTTGCTATTATCTCCCCTGTTTGTAAACCCAGCCACACAATACTGCACAACCAGCTCTAAGCTCACAGCAATCATCCCGAGTCAGTGAGAGAATTACCACAGAACTGTAGCAAGTGCAAGAAAACCATGACAGTCATCCTTCAACCATAATATATATAATAGATAACCACAGCAGATTTGAAAGGCTACATCAGTATGTAATAGCTATTGTAACTCACTAATTTCTACTAGGAAGAAACTTCTTATTTTTATTTCTCCTTTACCAGAAACAAACTTTGCTGTTCCCTGTGCAGAAGGGTTGGCCTGCCTGTGCCCCTGCAGAGATTTGAGTAAGGAGTGCCCCTGTTGCTGGGGCTGGGGTCTGTCCATGTGCCTCTCTGCCCAGCACACTGGGGGGTAAGTGGAGCCCATCCCAGGAGATGGGCAGGGGCAGGGCAGCACTTCAGCTGAGCTCCAGCATCACACGGAGCCACAGCAGAATCCAACAGGAACTGACTCATGGCAAAAATACTGAGATAGCACCAGATAGCAGATCAGAAGCATTCTGTTCCTTTGGGAAGAAAACATGCAGCTCTTCCAAATGCCTACCAGTCACTTTAACATCGAAATGTTTCTTTTCTTTCAAAATCCAGCATGCAATTCCAGAGATAGGAAACATCATTTCAGCAATCAAAAGATGATGCTTTCATATAAAAACAAATATTCTTAATAAAGTCATCCCCAACACTTTTATGCAATCAGTTACCAGTCCAAAGCCAGGATAAAGTGTAAGTACAATAACTAAACATTTTAAAGTATAACATAAACCCCATAAGTGTAATGAAAAGAATACTGCCACCTCCTTATTTCAGTTGAAAGTCAGAAATAGAGAAACACACCTACGAAACTGCAGACATAAGTCCTGGTGCAAGACTGACTGGTGAAAATAAAGAAACATATTTAAGTGCTACTCAATGACAGAGATAATAATTGCTCTGTATCATTCTTCATAATCAATTGCAAAGAGATTAAAAACATCAGGAAACAAAAACAGCAAAGGAGAAACTCTGCCCCAAATGATAAAACAACACTTCAAACTGTACTGTTACATTTTTGTTTCAGCAACTTCTGTAACCCCCTTTGATTTGGAAGCATTACCCACACAGGAACAGAGGAGTTCAAATGGCAACATTCAGAGGACATAAAACCAAAGACAGATCAAGTTCTATGAATTCAGGATTCGGGTCACCAGCACAAAATGGAAGCAGCGGCAAATGTCATCAATAACCAAAACATCATCAGGCAAACAATAAAACTGAGAAAGGATGATCTTAAACCAACTTTCAAAGAAATTTCGTATTACCAGATTGCAAAGATGAAAAGGTTTTTTCCTCCAGTTAACTTGAACTGAGACAGATGAAGGGGAATGACTGGAACTGAAAAAAAAAAGATACAGAGTTCAGAGAGAGTTATTGAAGTTGCCACAGACTCAGCTGGATACCAATAAGGTTGGAACAAGAAAGAGACATTCCATATAATTGGGAAATTAGATTTAGAAACAAGAACATTTGTTTCTAAACAAGTATTTCTACAGAGAAAGAAGCAGGAAAAGGAAAAAGCATAAGGAAGATTGACATTTTCTTTGTTATTTTGAGAAATGAAAACTTCAGTAAAACATCATTTAGAACCTTCTAGCAAAGCTTTCCAGAAATAATCAGTCATTCTCAGTGCCCAACTAGATATATTTATAAGGGTCCTGCTACTCATAAAGTTACAACACCCTAAGTAAACATTTGCTGCTCTACAGTGGTTTTTGTAGATATACAGGCACTCCATAGTCTCCAGGAGTGATGTTTGCTTTTCCAGACCAAAAATCCAGCTATAAAGTAATTCTACTTCTATGAATGAGAGACAAGAATAACTACAACTTTGCTATGCTTATTTGAAGAACCAGTGAACTTAATGACCTTGCTAGTGAAGATAATTTGTCAGATATATCATGCAATTTATAATATCCCCATCTAGAAAATGAAGTCCTCCCAACCACACATATAATCAGGGACTAACATATTGTAGCAGAGTCTGTAAGTGTTGTTACACTGTCACTGCTCTCAGCATGGCCCCAGAGGAGCAGCTGGGGAGCCACAACCACCATCCTCTGTGTTGAAGGGCCTGTTGCTGGTGCCTTTCTCATTGTGCTTCAGCTGTACTTCAACAGACAATGGAATATTTCTGTGCCATGACAGCAGACAGAACCTGCCAGTAATTAAAAGAAAAATTCATATAACTCTTATAAATCTTCAGATGACCAATATGTCTAAAGCTATTTTACAAAGGAAATATTGTAGGAATGAAGGAAACCTGAAAAGAAACTCACATTGTGATTTCACATTGCAGGGCATGGGTTGTGTGTTCCCTTCATTTTTGAGCATCCACAGAAAAAAACTCCTGAGACCAAGTGGCAGAAGATTAAAAAGTCATCTTGAAAGGAGTCTTTTGACAAAACTGCAAAAGAAATAAAAAAAACCTCCAGTTTTTAACATGATCTCTGGCTTAATATTTCACTTCTGCAATGTTCTGCTTCACTACTACTGAGTGACAGAAAAAGAAGTAACAAAAAGTCTTTTTGGCATCCATATCTTGATTTTTTTCTGTATATTGTAAGAAGAAATGACAGAGCCGATAATTAAAAATATTACAATTAAGTCCTGCAGTCACCAGATGTACAGCTGAAAAGAGAATTGGGATCAATTCTGAAAACTACATCATAGTTAAACAGAAATTAAAACTGGTGAATAAACAGAGGAAACCATTAGAAAAAAAATGTAGCCTCTTCTGCTAGACTGGAGGTGAAGAGGGTGGAAAAGAGGCAGTATCATGTTGTTTGAATAATCTAATTCTTTGTTATGCACTTTTCCATGAACATTTTTAATGCAGGCTTCATGTAGGTTTAATGCAGGCTGTGATATAACAACAAATAATCAATTTTCTATTCCTCCCATCCCCAATTAAAAATTATAATAGTTGGAAATACGTGGAATCAGAATAATTGATCCTGACTGGGACACCCAAGTTTGACAGCAGCCATCTTATGCAACCAGCCACGGGATGTGTTTGCTGCTCATGGACACATGGACCCTCCCAAAGAAACAAAGAGGTGAGTGCAGACACCAGACAGGGGTTGGATTTTTATTGGTTTTGCTACTGAGCAATAAATCAAATTCTGAGTACCCTCCATAAGGTAGTCACCACACAGTTATTTCAGTGGCTGCAAATGCATATCCAGGTAGAGAGCATCAGCCTCTCCCTTCTCATGCATAAAAGTAAATGAGACCTTGCCCACCCAGCAAGCCACTCCTCTCCTCTTATTTCATTTATTTCTTCATGTATGTGGAATTTTGGGTTGTTGTTTTACAGTTATTTTTCTGAATTCTGGATCCTTAAAAAACCCACAGTTGGTAAAAAAGCACAAGCTTAAAACAGCTTGTATTAACTTCCTACACCATCCTTTGGGCTGTTCTCAAAATATATTCTCATATATTACAAAAATATATTCATTGTCATATTTTTCTTAGTTATTTATATAATATATTTAATTCATAAATTATGAACAAGTCATCTTTGGTAGGTAGAAACAGACAACTTCCACCAACTGAAAGGACAGAAAGATCGGTTCAGAATAAGGTTTTAAAAAAAAAGAAGCTGACTAACTTACAATGTGTATTCTTCACAGTCAGAAGAAAATTGAAAATCCACATGAAAGACACCTGAAAAGATTCTACTATAATTTTTTTCCACCTGACAACATAATTTCAAATGCATGTAAAGATATTAAAAATGTGAAGGAGAACTTGTTTGAATATGATTAGAGGAAACGACTTCAGCATGAGGCCAACAGATATAAAAGTACAATTCAAATCTGGTCATGAAAATCCCTCAGGCTGGAGGAAATGTGAGGAGAAGCCCTGCTCTGTCAGGAGCACTGGAATTCCCAACACTCACTCCTCAGCCCTGCCCTGCAAGCACTGCCCACACTCCCCCACTCCACCTGCTGCTCTCACCAACTTAAATGGATTGTCTGCACTCTCCAAGAGATAATCACCTCCATAAATCAAGACAAATAAAGTCCCACATAGTAGTTATATACATTTTATAATGCCAAATCTCTTCCAACACAGGTTGGAAGGAGGATTTTTTTGTGGGAAATGAGGGCTTTCAGACAAAACAATTTAGAAACGAAAACAAAGGTAAGGATACAAACCAAATCCAAATCCTCAGTGATTCAGTTCTTCAAGTGTTGGGAGTCTTGATTTTAAAAAGATATAAACATTAAATAAAAACATAAAAATGCTTGAAACTTTTAAAACATTTACATGGTCTAGTTGTCACTATTTACTATCCCACCCTCTCCCCTTGTGCAAACACTAATTGCCTTGGCAGTGTATGTTTGGGGACACAACACTAGAAGGTGCATCCCATCCATCGCTGAAAACCATGGGGGGATTTCCAAAAAGTAGGAATATTCCATGTTTTCAAGCCATGTAAGCATTTCTCATTGACTAGAGTGGGACAAAGGAGCAGGTCAGAGCAGGCCCAACTGATGCCCGCTGTATTTTGGAGCCTTTCTTTAAATCACAGCTAAACTGCAGAGCAGAGGGAAATGCAGCACACAACCACTCAAGGATGAAGAACTAAAATGCCCCCTTTTTGCAGCAGTAAAGTACCATCAGAAAGAAGCCATCCTGCCTAAATACAGATCTTTGAGAAATTAGAAAGCAAAACGGGCTTACTTCGGTTTTTATTTTAAAGAAAGGTAAGGAAAATACACCAAACCAGTAGTCACATTTTCTTTAGCAAAGGCTTCCTTCGTCATTTATCTTATTCTGAACTCAGTGAAGAGCTGTAGGGGCTGCTGTGAACTACAGCCAAGCAGAGCAGAGGGAGCAGAGAGCAAAGGGAAGGCTGCTGGCCGCCGAGCAGATGGAGCCATTAGCTGCACTGGGGGAATGCAGTCAAAGCAAGGGAGGATAACTGGCAGGGAGCATGGCTTTCAAGGGCATTTCACGGGAAACTTGGCTTTTTTTGGCCTTTTTTCTGTATTTCTAAATTGATATTTTACTGTAGTTCCTTTTTGCCTCTTCTGCTATTGCAAATCCTCGCCTTACTGTTGCAACCCTGGAAAAAGGGCTTATTTCTGAGCTACAAGGAAATGGAAAACCTTCTAGGTTTCTGGGCAGGAGTTCAAAATTATATTAAATATTTTAATAATAAGCCCTTTGAATTGAAGTGGTTTCCATGTTGCTGTCAGTCAAGACCCTGATTTGTCTGACCATCTGCTTATTTTCCTGGTCTTACTGTCATACATGATCAAACAAAAACCATGATCTTTTGAGGCACTGTGTGAAACTCCTGCTAATTTCAGTCTAGATTTGTGAAGACTGTATGTTTTGGAGATGGATAAAAATGTGTCTTAAAATTGGTAACTGAGCAAACATGAAAACTCACAAATACAGTATTTCATACATGTATTCTGGCAATTTTTAAAAATTCTTATAAAATTAGTATATAAACAATTGCCCAGAATACAGCTCATGACGTATCTCAACATTTTCCAGCCAAACAGAAAGATATAGAAAGATGTAAAAACTTCCCAAATACAACCAGTCAGCTTCTTGAAGAGTAATCAAAAGTTTAGCCTGGTTTTACAACCATGAGAAACTTCTGCAGAAGGGTAGTTCATAGCACAACTTGTGTTGGGCAATTTTTCAGCAGACTGTGAACAAAATTTTGAAGTCATGCAACAATTCATCAAAGCAGATGCTGCACTGGGAAGCAGAATGCTTGGATCCTATTTCTAGGGCTAGGCAGACCTCAGATAAATCATTAACCTCTTTCCTCTCATGCCCCTCATCTGTTTTGCTGCTACAATTGCAGTAATCACGTTTCTGCAGTGCCAACGGACCTTCCAAACTGCCCAGAGTGCAGATTTTCCAGTCTGACATTAATTGTAGCAGTAAACCAGGCACCAAGTGTTGATGCAAAGGCAAAAATGTGGAGCTGCCTGGCCATCAAAAAGCAATCTGAGGGTAAGCAATATATTTCACTTACTCTGTTGCAAGCTTTAGTGAGATAATCCTTTCTTATTGCCTGCACATACATAAGATGCAACACAGAATAATCTTTCATCTTATGGCATTTACATGTTCCTTAATTCAGAAAGTTCCAAGTTTTCCAAGTCCCTTTTTGCTATGTCAGTTTTACTGTGTGAAACGATGGAAATTATAGTCCTATATAGAAATGATGCCTATTGAAGAGATAAAATATTCTTTATTAAAAAATCAGAATTATATGAGCTTTGTCTATTATTTTCTAGTTAACTGTCAAAGCAACAACTGAAAAAAACATCTCAAGAGACATCTGAGATTATGAAGCTGAAATGGTGAGAACAGACAATGCCTCACAAGGTACAAGGATAGGTTTTGTCAGCATCTGGTTTTCTTCTTATCAGATGTTGAAACGATGTAAGAGATCTATCAAGAAGGGAAATACTGTCCAAATAAATAAATTCCAAAGTTGGCAGGTCATCACACCTGAGAAACTGTCTCACACACAAAAATCATCATATACAAGGAATAGAGAACTTTATATTAAAAAAAAAAAGAGGTGACATTTCCTAATTTGGAAAAGAACCCTCCAAATAATGGTATAGATGGTGGCTTGTAATATGTTGGCAGATACTATAGGGGTCTTTTTATAATTAACATAAGATGTGCCATTCTCCTGCCTGGGAAGAACCAATAAGAAGAACTCACAGAGCCTTTCATGAACTTTTGCTGTTTGCCACCAACTTTTCTGAGGTTCCTCAGACCCAAGTGCTTGTTTTCCAGAGAGCGGATGCTTGTGACACATTGTGGAGTGTATTTATAAGTGACTACAGAGTTAGATAACAAATATGCACATATTTGTCATCACATGAGGGAAAATAAATGCACTGGTTCTCTAAGCCAGGCGTTTCAGCTTGCCTGGGAACAGGGAAAAGACTTAAGTTGACATAAGTGGCCAGGGCAGGAGCTGGATCCCACTGGGCTATCCCCGGGGCAGTGGCAGAAAGGCAACCATGGTAGAAAGGCAATCCTTGCTCACAGCAAACCAGAGAACTGAGCTCTCTGGGAAACTCTGAGCATGAGAAGGTACTACAATGAAAGGCAAAGTTAAAGAGAGTCAGGAGCTGGCTACAGCCTGCCTTCTTGGATGTGCATCCCTCCTACTGCAAGCTGGCAAGGGAATTTTTCTCCCAATATGGTGCACCACATGCGTGTTCTTCGCTGCTGTAGTTTCCTGGAATAGCTCAGGCTACAGTAACATACGGGGCATTGGCAAAGGAAAAGAGGAAAGGGGTCACATTCACAGGAATTCCAAACTATCTTAAGTTCTGTTTAAAATGCTTCAATCTATATTCCTGGAACTGATCCTGCTAATGAGAGAAGAAAAAGGCAACATACCAGCCACTTCTTATTTTTTAAATAACCCTTTTTGGTATGTCACAAAGTATTGCCCTTTATCACAGCACAAGGATTTTGTCCTTTCAAATGATGTTGGCAGGGAAACATAAATTTAAGAAGTTGATATCACCTCCTAGTGAAAGGTTTCCCCATTACTTAGCCAGTTAACTACTGAATTCTAATTTCCTAATACAAGCTGTTAAGATATCGTATAACATTCAAGCACATATGGCATTGGTAATATATATTAGCTAAAACTACCTATTTTCTTCCTTTTTAATGAAAAATAGTTTATTTTTTTAATGAAAATAAAAGAGTATTATCATGACTGAAAGAATAATGTAATCTGAGCAGTTTAGATCAAAATATACAACACTTAAACAGTGTTGTGGCTATCTACAATTCAGGTATTACAGCAACTGAAACTTTTTTTTTTCATGTGATCATCATTTTGCAAAGGAAACTGCACGGAGAGAAGGTGGCTCCCTGGAGGATTTCCTCATTTCTACAAAGAGCTGATATCTTTCTTTGAGAATAATGTGAATACCACAAAAAGTTCATTTGAAAGAAATCTTGAAATTAAGTTGACACCAGTGCCTGGGAAACTGATGTTTCCTGCACTGTGCATAACACACCAGGGGAGTTCAGTGGCATAAAATGCCAGTCAAACACACCTCAAGGCTACTTCCCATTTCAAGCCTATATTCTTGTTATATATATTTTATAGCTTCTAGTTATTATTAAGGTGCTGAAGCATCCCAACCTGCAGTAAATGTGTAGCAAACCAGTAAGATAACAAAGGCTGCCAGAGCAGCTAAGTCAGGACTGCCAGGTCATGTGGAATCCCCTGCTGTTGCCCAGCACACACCCCAGTGCCACTGCAGAAGTTTTCGGAGCTCCAGTCACACTCCTCAGCTGGCAGCAGGACTCCAGCACTGTAAGAGAAAGGTATAATGTTGCAGAAGTCAGAACACGTCACAAAAGAGATTTACCTTTAGCATTCATGAATGTTTCTGATTTTCTGCTTCCCCACCCCCTAATTTCTCACCAGGAAAGAACATCAATAGTGACCATCACTGCAATTTCTTTCTATGTATGAGGAAAATATTCTTTCTAGAACAGATAGATAGTAATAATATTTTTACCCTATAAAATCATAAAATTCAAGCATCTCCTTTATGAATTTTCATCATATTTAAAGAACTAAAAGTCACAGGAAAATGTGTGTGATGGAATCAGAAAAATATTAGAATATTATTTGTGATAGGATGTAATAAGGAGCATTGTCCATGCTTTGGTGTAACTGCAAACATTTCTAGCAATAGTATTTATAAAGTAAGACAAAAACAGAGCTTCTAGAGCCAGCATTTAAGAAAAGCTCCCAATTGCAGAAATGAAGAAACAATCAATTATTCCGTTTTCCGAAGTACTAAAAACATCAAACCAACCTAGTAGCTCGTGGTTTTAATCTTTCATGTCAGAATTCAGAACCATGGAGAAAACAATTTGGTATTTGGTGACTTAGAATAATTGAGGGTTTTTTTTCTTCTGGAATCTGTGAAACAGGCTCTATTCACCTGCTTTGTTCCTGATCCCCATTTTAGGGTGGCACAATTTAAAAATGCATCCCTCACTGACAAATTCCTTCATGCTGCCAAGGAAGAAAGTTTCACTTTTTATTTTTCAGGTCTCCTTATGCTTATTTAATGAAGCATAAATATGGATGGCACCTTTCTCCTTACAGCAGTTGAAAACATACAAAAATACATTCAGCTGCAGAAGCACCTCCTTTTTAAGCAGCCTTTAAACAGTTCCCTTGGTTTCCATTGTTTTTGCAGACACTTGGGCTTCCTTCACACCCGTGAGCCACACAGGCTCCAAAACAAACTCATCACATAAACTCATCACACTGAGGTCAGAAGAAGTAAAAGAAAAAAACACGTGCAACACTCAGAACAGGAAAATCCTTTCATGTGGCAAAGACAAAGAAATATATATTATTATTATTATTATTATTTACTTCATTTCTCTTCTTATTAGCTGAGTGTTTCGTACTGATGTCTATATGTCATTCTTTCCTCTTTAACCATAATTAACCCTACAAAGAGTCTGTCAGGAGTACTTCAAAGTACTTGTTATTTAAAATATTGACCTCCACATAGGTTCTTATCAAGATATACCTAGAAGTACCAGAATTTTGTGCATGTGCTATTTTCTATTTCCGGATTAAAATAATGACAGAAATATCTTGTCAAGTGTTTCCTGTGCCATTGCCATAGTACAGAAAATGAGGGTGCACCTAAAAACTCAGAAAAGAGTTTATCATAATATACAGCTGAAATGTCTGCAGGAGACAGCCTGTGCATGTCTTTTTTTCTTTTCCTTCAGTTTTATAGACCTGCATCTCTTGTTTGGTAAACATATTATCTGAGTAAAGTATATTTTGTCTTCCTTTTTCCTCCTATTCTCCCTCCTGCTCTATACCTCAGGGCCATCATTTGTCTATATGTGAGGAGACCTGGATCTGGATTTCAGCTGGATCTCTGAGGCTGAGCTTTTGCCTTTCTACAAAGAGGAGGATAAAACACAGAAAGGAAGGAAAGAAGACAAAGCTCCAATTCATGTTGAGTGTACAGGCAAACAGGTACTGCTGAGCAGGGATCGCCCCTGACAAACAGTCAGATATTCTTGTGATGACAATTAATTATACTTTTCAAAATATCTAAGCTCTAAACAACAGGCATTTCATTTCAAAGAGAGGGGAACACAGCAACACTCACTGCATGAGAGAATAACAGAGATGAGAAAGCACATCTGTGAGTCACAGCACAGGGCTCACGAGCCCTGTAGCAGATTCTCCTGCCAGCCACATCTATAAAGGATGGACTTTGAAGGATTTTTGCATTTACTCAAAGTAAAACATTCATGAGCCTGCAGTATTAACACAACCCCCCAGTGATTCCCAGAGCCCTGGTCCTGGACATTCCATTCCAAGCTGACACCTTCCATTACAGCTTCATTGTATCCACACATGGTTTTGGGCTCATCAAGGGCTCAGCTCCCAAGCTGATCAAGGAATATGTATTTTACAGCTGGGCTTTGTGGAAGGGGACAGACTTCGTGCACTACATGGATTCTAAAGAGTTCCTACAAAGTGTGAAAGAAGAGTAAATTCTAGAAACAGAGGAACATGTGGGACAGAGACATTCTCAAAGTCTCAGCCAGCAGAAAAGGAACTCTCAGTGTTCACAGAATTCACAGTGGTAAACACACAATAAAAAATAGAAAAGAGAGTCCTTAGAAGTTATTTTATCCATTAGCCTGAAAATTCCACCATTCCTGTGGGGTCAATGTAAGTAAAAAATTAGTCCCGAGAAAAAAATTCCTCCCACTGAAGGACTACAGAAAAATTACATTCTCTAGAATACGTGTAACAATTAAAAAGGTGCCACTTTATTCCTTCTCAATGGTCCCTTCTCCCTCTAGTATTTACCCCAATCCAGACATTCTCATTACAACTAATGTTAAGAATAGTTATCCAACCTCAGTGTCCACGGGGCAGAATATTGTAAATCAAATATATTCTTTAAAAAAAAAAGAAAGAAAAGGATCATACTTCAGGTAAAAGCTCCCTCAGACTCCTGGAAGAAGTGACTTAGAAAACCATTGACTCTTTTTGTGTCATGACATTTTCTCAAATGCTCTTTTGAAGTAAAAGAGTTGCAGACATACAAAGTGTGTGTTAGTCAGTGAAAACAGAGATCCCTGGGGAGCCTACAGAGAGCACGGAAGGCACTACTCAGTCATGGTTTTATTGCAGGGGGAGCCTGGCTGCAGAAAAAAAGTTGTTCCACAACACATCAGACTTGCCCTAAATTGAATAGGAATACATTTCATCTTGTCTTGGATCGGGAGTTATTACAGATTATCTACATTCACACTAGGAGCTCTTTTCCTCTGTTCCTACAGAATTTCAGGAATAATCTGCGTGTGAACAAGCAGAAACAGGCCAGAGACACTTAAATATTTATCTCCACATAAGAACGTATCATCAGACCTCAAAAGTATGGGAATTCTACATCAGAGTCCCAAAATGAATTTTCATTTACTAGTGAATAAGCAAGATACTTCATTCTGGTTACACAAACCATTCCAATTCACCATGTTCAAGCACTTTGCCTCATTCAATTGTACAGCCTGACAACTGCCAAGGTACCTGCAAAGCACACACAGGTATATTTTTCTTAGCCTGATTGTCATAGCTGGCATTTGCTACCCATGAACTTTGACTTCACCATATCCAAAATGCAAATTCAGCTTAAACTGAGCCCATGGCTAACAATATGTTTGGGTCCCACAGTGCCAGGCAACACAGTGTGTCTATTTTAGTGTGTTTACTGGATACATATATACAAGCAGGGAGTACATGCATCTCTCCATCCTCCTCACAAAACCACCTTTCACACTTTATTATCTCTTACTAAAGCCTACTGTTGGCTTGATTGAAGTGTGTAGGTTGCACTATACTTACCTGCAAAAAAAGCACCTTCATTTGGTTCTTAAGTTACTTCAGAAGCTCTCCCTGTTATTACATGCCTCCTTTACAAATTATGAATTTCACACACTTCACTGCTTTTGTGTTTCATTTAAAGTCTTGTTTATTGGTGGCACAAAAGTAAAGCTTGACTGGTGCTGTCTGCCTTTTTCTTTTCATGCTTTCCCTCATGGGATGCAATTCAACTCACATTACTGATGTGAATTATTCATTTCTGCGAATCTTTCAAGTAGGTCTGAACCAAGCAGGTTCCAATGTTTTCTACCCTCAGAAAGAGTGGAAGAATCATATTACAGATTTTCCACCCTTTCATATATATGATTTAATGACAGAACATACATAATCATCTTTCTCCACAGATACTGTTGAAGTTAAAATCTGTGCCAAGCCAAAATCTGGTTTTCTACCACAAGATCACAGGATCATCTCTCATGGCTTCTTCAAATGTAAGGTTGTTTTTTACAAACTAGTGACTTTTACACCTCAAAAGGCTTTTTTATTATTACTTATATTGTGCATACAATATTTTAATTTCTTTTAAAAATAAATCCTTCACTTTACCTGCTTTCAGAAATGTGTAATTAAAGAGGAGACAACTCTTGTAAGTTGTCTAACTCTGTATCAGAGTTCTTATGTACAGACTGCAAACTGAGTAACTATATGATTCCCCTTGTTCATGTAATGTTCAGAGAAGCAATATTTTTCTTGAGTGCTGTTTTAAAAATTAGATAGGTTTGTTCACTGTAACAGAGAGCATATTAGATCTTAGGGTTATGTAAAAACATAGTTATCATCTGTTATCAGCTATTTCTGTTAGCTTTCCTCTCTTGGTAAAATGTTTGCCACAGGAAAAAAAAAAGGTGGATAATCAACAGTGCTGGAACAAGGGGCGGGTTCGTGTTTGGTTTGGGTTTGGGTTTTTTGAGATTTGTTTTTGTTAGGTAAACAAACTGAAAGACTGCCAGATGCTCTAGTTTTTATCCTCAGGTACTCCTGGAGTGATTGTGGTTTGTATTTCAATTTATATATATCCATAAGCACACAAACCCCAACATTGTGACTTACATCAGCTTGGTCACGTGATGTTGTGTGAGCTCAGTTAAATGCAGGTTACTGAATTCTGACTGCCTATTTTGAAAACTAGAAAACTTTGCTTTCCATGCTAGTTTTGCAAGGAAATAAATTACACAGATGCACTGCCAGCCTGTCACTTCTCATCCCCTCCCTCACAACTTTTGAATGAATTGGCTAATTTTGATCAAATTTGACAAAAGGACCTGGTCTCAAAAATATGAAGTTCCAACAAGTTTCCATGAGAACTGACAGTTGAGTAGGAGATAAAGACTGACATGAGTCTTCCCAGTGAGGCAAATATTGCTG